AAAGAGCACGGCTGGATACATGTTTACTCTTGGTTCAGGAATGTTTTGTTGGCAATCAAGCAAACAACAAATGGTGTCTCTGGATCACATAGAGAGTGGGGAAAACGTCCTGCAAATATTGAGCAATCAAGCACAAAAGTCCCTGGATCAGATAGCTTCTCTGGAACTCTGCTTTGAGTGATGGAATTGACTTGTTCAGAAACAGTTACCTTCTTCTTCTTCTTTGGAACTGTACTCAAAAGGATTGCACTGATGTCTCTGGTAAGCAATGCTCCTTCCTCAGGACTTACACCATTCACAACCATTCTCTTTACATACCTTCTTAGAGCTGGTGAAAGCTTGACTGCATCAACAAGTGGGATCTCAAGCATCAGCTTGTCTATCATAGCTTTACATCTGGCTTCTTCTATCTCCTGTTTAGACTTCCTAGTATGCTTGGGGAATGGTGTTTTGGGTTTATAGACACGTTCCTGGTCATAATTTGCAGTTACAGGCGAAGCAGCTTCGTTCTGGGGTGGGTGACGACCGTCACCAGGTGGGTGACGCTTGTCACTCACTTGTGACAACCCCCGATACCCTTGTAGGTTGGTGACGAGCGTCACTCCTCCTTGGTGACGCTCGTCACTCACCTCTGAGACAGAAAATTTTTCATCTTCAGACTCCATCAGTTGCACGATCTGCTCTGCACTCAGCCTCTTTTTCTGCACTGTTTTAAGCTCCTTTTCATTCCTTACTGTGATGGCATTAACCTGATGCTTGGGATTGATGTCAGTCCTTCCAGGAAGGAATCCCTCTTGCCTTTGAACAGCTTCTGCAGTTTGAGCAACCTGCACATCAAGCTTCTTCATGTGAGAGTTCAGACTCTCAATTTTTCCATTCAGGTCTTGATACAGCGAATCTAGCTTGCCATTGAAGTTCACTGTCATCTTCTGCTGTCCTTCAAGTACCTGCTCCAGCATAGCTTCCATTTTATTGTCTTGTGGAGGTGCAGTTTGGTAGGAAGAACAACCATAATTCCTGCTGTTTTGGTAAGGTTTCTCAACTTCAGTCTTCTGGAATGGGGGCTTAGGAGTGTAACCAGGCGTGCTCTGTCCTCCTGTAAAGGTACTCTGCTGATTATTGCTGTTGTAGCCTCTGTTCCATTGCTGATTTCCAAACCTTTGGCTCTGAAAACCCCCTCCATTGATGAAATTAATATCTTTCTGCTCAAATTCTTCAGGATTTTCGAAACTCTCCACTTCTGCAACAAACTGAACTGACTTCTTTCCCACCAGAAGGCTGTGCATGCTGTCTAACTTAGCCTTAACTTCAGCTATTTGGTTTCCATCATTCAAACCAGCCTGCTGCTTTCTCTGAAAATCTGCATTTTTAGTGTTGTTACTGCAGGCCAAGTTTTCAATCAATCTTACAGCTTCTTCTGGTCTGTTGGTGTTGAAGTTTCCTGCACTTGCTGCATCCAGCGCCATCTGATATTTCCAGTCAATGCCTCTGAAGAAAATTCCAAGTAATTGCACCTGACTGAAACCATGATGAGGACAGTCCCTTTGATAAGACTTGAACCTGATCCAAGAAGCCTTAAAAGCTTCAGTAGGGCCTTGTGTAAAGGAAGCAATTTTCGTCCTCATGTCCTCTGATCTTGCATCATCATAGAAGTTATTCAGAAAGGCGTTCTTAGTGTCTTCCCAAGTGGTCAATGAAGCAGATTCCAGTTGCTTCAGCCAATATGCAGCTTCTCCTCCAAGAGAGTAAGGAAAAAGCTTGCAGAACAGGAAATCATTGCTGACTCCAGTAGCTTTGACACTTGAAGCCAGATCCTCAAACCTCTCAATGTGATCCATAGGATACTCATTAGGTAAGCCATGGAATGGATGCTGGCCAACCAGCTGATAGTAGACTGGTTTAACCTCAAAATCGTTCCTCTGGAAGGCAGGAGGTCGGATTGCAGCTCTGTTGGCATAGAACTGATCAGGTCTGTTGTAGTCACCTAGAGTCCTCTGAACAAAACGCCCAGCAGCGTTATTGACAGCAGCAGGGACCCCCACGTTCTCAGCCACTTGCTGAACCTGCTGTTCAACAATGACATTCCCCTCTTGATCAATTCTCTGCCCCTCTTCGTTCCTCCTGTTTCCTTCCCTGTCAACCAAGTGACCTTCTGCATCTTCAACCAAGATAAGTGGAGCGACCATTGTAGATTGCTTCTTAGCTTTCCTGTTAGTTCTCTCCAACCTAGCAAGCTCGTCGATGCTCAAAGTCACAAGCTCCTTCTCTTTGTTGCTTCTGGTTCTGCGATTAGGCATACACTTGAAACAAGAACAAAGAAAAGTAGCTGAAAATCAGTAAACAAATAAAAACTTAGACAAAATCCTAATACTAAAAATCGATAGGCAGCTATTACTCCCCGGCAACGGCGCCAAAAACTTGATAGGGTCAAGTTTTACCCAAATAAAACTACTGCAAGTGCACAGCAAAAGCAGTTGTAGTACAAGGGGTTATCGAATCCCAAGGGAGTATGTAAACCACACTAGCGATTATAGATTCAGATTAAGCTAAGCGATAAATAATGAATGTAATGCAAAACAGTAAAATAAATGCAAGAGGGCGTTTTTATGCTTGTTCTTAAAGTTCAGAAGGCTAAAGGCGCTAAGTCAGGACAGTTCGCAGGTTGAATCTGAGAGTGTAGAATGCATGCAATCAGGAATGAATTAAAACCGTCTTGAACATGAATCGCAAAGATATAACTAATCAATTCTCATTGCAGAAGTTATCTATGTCTAAATCACAGAGTTTCAAATCTCTTTGCAAACCCTAACAACCTAAACATGCAGTAATGATCAGGTTCAATTGTTCACAAAACTCCTAATCCAATCTTTGTACTAGGGCGTTTTGCTCATCTAATACTAGTTCAGGTGATTAATAATGCTCTCACATCTATCAAACAACCTAGGGTTTCGAAATCCAGATGATGTGTCTAAGAAATCGATATGAATGCAAGCACAGATGAAGAACCAATGAATTTCCTAGAAGTTTTTAGCAATTCTACAAACTCTTCTTCAACCTTTGAAAAGCCCTATTTAACTAACAAACTACTCAGACATGGTGATTTGAGAAAACATCATGAAAAGAATAGATTGCATAAAAGAAATAAGAAGTAGAAATAAAGGAGTTCAAAATCTGCTCTGAAAGAGTCTGATTTGTCTCTCCAAAAGCTCTTCTACAAATCTCTCTCTAAAGCTCTCAAAAATAATAAGATACAAGATATCTGGCAAAAGAATGGCTGAAAAACCTAATATACAAGCTAAAACACGATCTGGAGTCTTTTTGCAAATACTGGAACTTTTGGGCCAAAACTGTAATTTCTTCCCAATCTTTTTAAAACAGACCACGACCCCTTCCTTTCTGGGTGACGAGCGTCACCAGCTTGGTGACGAGCGTCACCATATGGCATACTTTCTTCTTCGAGCTAGGTACTTTGTGGCTTCAACTCAGAATGCTCCAAAAGGTTCAAAAATCTCCAATTATGCTCCAGACATGCTATAACCTGTAAAGACTCTTCTAGGACTCTAAAAAGACCAAAAAAACTCAATAAAAAGGACTTATATCATGGTTAAAAACTATAAAAACCATGATATATCATGTATCTCTGTGCATCAAGACCAGACTTGATGTTTGCAAGTTTTTATCTCTTGCGATACATGTCTGTGCCACTTATGAAGCACTATCAAGAAGCCAAGAAAGTCTTAAGATACATCTAACTTTGGAGTTCAATACACAAGTGTTGAAAATCCAGAATTGTTGGGTTACTCAGACAGCGATTGGGGAGGCTCAATTGAAGATAAAAAGAGCACGGCTGGATACATGTTTACTCTTGGTTCAGGAATGTTTTGTTGGCAATCAAGCAAACAACAAATGGTGTCTCAATCAAAAGAAGAATCTGAGTATATTGCAGTATGTTCAGCGACAAACCAAGCAATTTGGCTATAGAGACTTCTAGAAGAAATCGGATTTAAGTTTCCATGTGGTGTTCAAATTTTATGTGACAACAAGTCTGCAATTTCAATTGTTAAAATCTTGTGCAACATCGAAGAACTAAGCACATAGAAATCGAGTATCACTTCGTTCGAGAGGCGGAACACAAATACTTGATTCAACTCAAGTATTTCGAAGGAGAAGTCCAACTTGAAGATCTTTTGACAAAGGCACTTGGCGGCTCAAGGTTTGAAGAACTAAGGAGGAAGCTTGGAGTCAGACCGAAACTCAATTAAGGAGGAATGTTAGTTGATAATTAAATTTCAGTAGTTATTAAGTTAAGAGTCGTGTCTTTAGGTTTAGGTTGTAAGAGACACAAGTAGAAAGACACAATTCTTGTTTGTGGTGTTTCGAAATGTATATAAACACACGTTCTCCTTCATTGTAAAACACAAGTTTTTAATAATCAATACAAAACACAAGTTTTTCTTATACTCTGTTTTTCATTCTTAGAAACAGAGCAACAAGTAAAACCTTGTTGTGTTCTTTGTGAGAAAGAAGCTCTCGCTTCTAACACTCACAAGCTTCTTTCTCCCTCTTTCTCTTGATCATATCACAATGGAACAGAATTGGTATGTTTCTTTGTTATGTTTATGTTTTTTGTTTTCTCTTTCTTAGAATCCCTTATCTGTCTGCAAAGATCCAACCAATATCTGTTGTTATTTGATTTAGATATTTCATCGTCTTTAAACAGCAAAAGCAGTGCTAAAAGATTGAGAAATCAAGATGTTGTGAATGAGGACATAATCAGTAAGTTTCCTGAAGATTTGCTTCCGCAGATATTATATTCACTTCCAACAAAAATTGTCACAGCCACAAGCGTTTTGTCAAAACGGTGGGGATCTCTTTGGAAATTGGTGCCAAATTTCGAGTTTAATTCCGCGCACTATACATCGCTAGAGAATCTTTGCAAGTTTTTTATTTCACATAAAGCTCCGGTTCTAGAGAGTTTGACATGGCATCTTAATCTATTCATGATGTTTCAGATATTGGAACAATGATTAGCATTGCATTTGCATGCCATGTGCATGGATTAGACTTGAGTTTTCCCTATTAGGGCAATGTCATATTTCCGAGTGAGTTGTGTAGTTGTAATAACACACTTGAGATCTTGGAACTCCATAGATCATTTCTTTTAGACTTTCCATATTTCAAGTCCCTTAGAAAATTGCACCTCTATTATGAGAAACTCATAGGCAAAGATCATTTCGCAACCTTTTACGTGGTTGTCCTAGTCTTGAGGATTTAGTCGTGATCGGTACCAATGATGCTCTCACTATTGTAGTGCCATCGTTACAGAGGCTAACCATAAAATCTTATTGGCCTAACCTAAGAAAAGGAGGCTATTTGATAAATGCCCTTTCTTTGATGTACTTGAGCATTAAAGTGGTTCATGGTTGCGAGTTTGGTGTTATTGAGGATGCGCCAAAGCTGGTGGATGCAAAACTTATTGACATTTATGATATAACCAATGAGAAGAGTCTAGTATCTCTAACTTCAGCCAAGTGTCTTTCCTTAGTCTTATCACCCTTGGATGTAAGATTTGAGATTTTAAAATCTATTAGGGCTAACATTTTTTTTCTGGTTACTAATGAATTTTGCTTCGTGCACAGGTTAAATTTCCTACTGGTAGTATCTTCTATCAGCTAGTATGTTTGGAGCTATGTTCAAATAAATGAGATTGGAGGAAACCACTATGGTTCATGCTTGATAGTGCTCCTAAATTGCAAGTCTTCAAGCTCATGATGAACGTAAGCAATTTCATTATATAGTGTTTTGTTTTTGTTTTTTCAATATCTCCATTTTCAGGTATTCTGATGATCAAATATCATATTAATTGCATTGGTCTCAGCGGATTTGGTATAGATAGGAGGACTTGGAATGGAAATTACCAAAAAGTGTACCAGATTGTTTGTTGTTTCATTTTGAAACATTTGTGTGGCATAATTACGGATGGCAGAATGAAGATAATAAAGAAGTGGCCACATACATCTTACGAAACGCAAAACGCTTGAAGAAAGCAACTTTCTTCACACGAGACATTTTGAGTAAGAGACTGATACAAGATTTTTTGGGACTTGATTCAATTACCCAAGCTTGTACTAATCAGTTGTAGTATAGCATTGGGTTTTATCAATCCAAAAGGGGAGAATGAAGCAGTAAGAATGCAATAGAAATCCTAATTCAAGCAGATATAAAAAGGGTTTAGAGCTTCTAGCAACCTAAGTGATCAAACAAAAACCAAACAACACAAATAAGGAAGTAGGCAAGCAAACAACCAAAGTAGAAGTAAAAACAGAGCAAATTCAGAACAGAGCTTAAAACAGAGAAAGATGGGACTTGAGATGAGATAATTGGTGATAGAGAACTCTTGACTCTACTTATGATTGTTACAAACTCACACAATGCTATTCTTTATGCATAGGATTCCTTTATATGACTAATCCAATCTCTTGGCACTAATCTTTTTGCTAATTACCAAGTCAAGAACTAATTCTCATTAGTGAAATGATAAGGAGCAAGCATTAAAACAAATCTATCAACCCTATATTGCCAAATCACTCCCTAGACAGTCAATCTCTTGAGCTAGGATAAAGAATTCTCTTGCAAAGCAGTTCAGACATTTCATCAAACACTTGGTGGGCATAAAATGAGCCTAAGATCTTAATCAACTTAGCTAAGGCTAATTAAGCATTAAACACAACAATCAAGAAAGGAAATGAAAGAATTAACACTAAGCAATCATAGATAAAGTCTCAAATTCCCTAAACCTAACCCATCTCAAATCCCTAAAAAGAACTACTCACTAATCACCATTAAAGCCACCAAATCAAAGAGAAAAAGATGACTAATCATGATTAGAAAGCTTAAACAAGATAAAAGATGCAAACTTTTATTGAAATGAAGCAAAGATTCAAATTACAAAATCCAAGGGTCCAAACAAGAAAGAAAGAACTGCTGGGTAAAAGCCTGTTCCCAGAAATTAGGGATTTTTCGTATTTATAGGGGTCCAAGCGAAAATGGCAAAGTTGTAGATAGAAGGTCTTCGGTATGGCAGCGTATCAGTCAGTTGTGTCGATCTCCAGTGACCGAAATGGGTCCCTATCGGTCTTCAGTGATCGACACACATGACCGAAATTAATCCGGTGTGTTTGTGTCGATCACACATGACCGATACTGGTGACCGATATGCTCCGTATCGGTCACCCTTGACCGAAACTCTCTGTGTTCTGACCGAAAACTTCTGCAGAGATCTTCTGCTGTGATCCTTCTTGCTCCCTTTTGCCCAGCTAGCATCTTGCATCATTCCCAAAACTCCTCCAAGCTCCCTTAAGCTCCAAAAGCACCTAAAAACATCCAAAATGCAAAGAAAATGCAAACTATACTCTAAATGCAACCTAAGTCTAAAAAAAGAAGAAAATAGGACAAAAAGAAAGGGAAAACATGCAAAAGAGGATCAAGATATGTACTAAATGCAGCCCTAAATGGTGTAAATACAAGGGATATCAACACCCCCACACTTGCCTTTTGCTTGTCCTCAAGCAATCAAGAACAAATGGGAGAGTGAGGTTTGAAAGTGGGCATTCAGATTCCAAAAGTGCAAAGGTAAAGAGATGGTTTTAGTGCTTTAGTGCCTAGTTGCAAGATGCAAACATAATCAGCTGTACTTTAAAGAACCCAGCCATGCTCATCATGTTTCAAAATGATCTCAAATCTCAACTTAGGCAAATGCTCAAATCAATCAACTCTTTAACATTCAATTAAATTCAGAACATGAATCATGCTTATGCAAATCAAGTGAAGACATTTGGTTGAAAAGGGTAAGGTTATGAGATAAGAATGATCTCATTTAAGCACAAGGGTTCAAAAACATAAATGATCACTCAATGAAATGACTTCATCTTAGGCAAAATGCTAAAGGTAAAAGCACACTTATGCATGCAGTTCAAAGCTCTCTTCTACCCTTACTTCCCAAAGATGAGTCCTAAGCATTTCTAAACCCAAGAGTGAACCCTCTAAGTCTACCCTTTCCTAGATTCTACCCTTTACCCATCTTCATGGCTGGGGAAACTTCTTCTTTTGCTTATGTGGTTGCCTCTTTTTAGTTGGGACTTGCTCTTTTTTGTTGTGTTGGCACCTTCATCACCTTTGGTGGATTGCTTCTTGGTCAGATTTTTCTTCTTTTGGACCCTTTTGAGCATTGTTGTTGGCGCCAATCCTTCTTTTTAAACTTAGAGCTTTTATTCCCTTTACTTAACCATAATACTGGACTGTTTCCCCTCTTTCTACCATTTCAGATCTTTTCCCTTTCTTTCAAAACATAAAAACATTAAGCTCAAACCACCCAACTCTACCCTTTTAAACCCCAAAACTCCTATCCTAGAATCAAGCTCAAAATGCAAGCTGATATCTACAAGAGAGCTAATCATTGCCAGCCTTATTCCTAACACTTTTTGCCAAGACAAAATCGAAAATGCAATGCAAAGGCCTCACAGCTCTCACAATAGTGTTTAGGCTCAAAAGGAGGTTTTGGTTAAGAGTGAGGATGTAACTGTCCCATAATTATGAGGATCAGCTATTTGGATCAACAAGAGTGGTAGAAAGGAGAAAGATGATCCAAATATGTATATGGTAGCCATGAATTCACTTTTCAATGCATAAGACATGATAATTAAAAGTCCAAATTAAAGTTCAAGTTGATAGAGTTGATTTTCAGAGAACAAATGCTTTCAAAATGAGATGAGAAGACCAAATCTAGCAATCTAAGCATGGTTCAGCCTTAACTTTTAGCAATCAAATGATGCATCAAACAACTAAGCACTTAAAAACTGAAATCATCTCTAAACACTAAGCACTTTACAAGGAAAACTCATCATAATGTCCTATGCAAATGCAATGCAACCTACATGTCAACACTAGACTCAATCCTAGAAGAATGAGATACAACTACATGCTCTCTTTTTGGTTTGCAAAAATGCAAAAATTTTCAAATTTTTTCGATTTTTTTGTGTTTTTCTATGTCTTACATGTATGCATGATATGCATGAGACTCAAAGTGAAAAGAAAAAGAAAAACTAAGAAAACAGAAAACAAAGTCAAACCCCAAATCTCTCCCCCACACTTAAATTACACAGTCCCTTGTGTAATGAAAGCAATGGAAGAGAGAAGCAACAAAATATATTACAAAAATAAAAAGATGCAGTGGTATAGAACAATGGAAGGGATGTGGTACTTGGTTCAATGGTAGGAGTTGTGGGATGATCCTGAGGTTTGTGGAGACTTGCTAGCTCTTGGGGAAAAGGGATGCTTCCTCTCTTTGTGACCTCCTGTTGCTTGCTGTTGAGCTGCTCCTGCTTCTCATTGTACCTCAGAAGGAATTTCGGTCACACATGACCGATATAACTGACCGAAATGGCAGTATCGCTCATCAGTGATCGATATTGGAGACTGGTGCTTCCTGGGATTAGTATCGGTCATCAGTGATTGACACACTTGACCGAAAATGACACGGTGTATTTATGTCGGTCATGAGTGATCGATATTGGTGACCGAAATATTTCCAAGAATCTTATCGATCACCAATGATCGACACACTGGACCGAAATTAAAACGATGTGTTTATGTCGATCATGCGTGACCGATACTGATGACCGAAAATCTATCCCTCTTTCAACCTTCTTTCCATATCGGTCACAAGTGACCGATATGTTGACTGGTATAAACTGGCTCTACTGATATCGGTCAATCATGATCGCTACTAATGACCGAAAATCTGTGTATCGGTCTGTCATGACCGATACAAATGACCGATATCAGCCAGAGTACACCTGTTCTTTGTCCCCATCATACTTTCTCAAGCCCCAATTTGAAATCCTGTTTCTAAGTACTAAAACAAAGCATTAAAGAAATACTAGAAAGCATAATATATATACAAAAAGATACCATGGGACTACCTCCCAAGTGCGCTTGTTTAAAGTCACTAAGCTTGACTTTCCCTGGTTGATTACTCTTGTGGAGGTTCATCAAGGTTTATTTACACTTCATCTCCAAGAGATTCACTTGCCATGTATGGTTTCAGCATGTGCCCATTCACTGTGAAGTCTTCTCCTTTCTTGCTGAACAAAGTTATAGCTCTATATGGCAGCACTTCCTTGATCTTGAATGGTCCTGACCATCTTGACTTCAGCTTTCCAGGAAATAGCTTCAACCTTGAGTTGAATAGCAGCACCTGATCCCCTGCCTTGAAGTCCTTGTGTTTGATCCTCTTATCATGGAAGGCTTTTGTCCTCTCCTTGTAGATCCTAGAACTCTCAAAAGCTTCAAGGCGGTTTTCCTCTAGTTCATGCAAGTTGATAAGTCTCTTTTCCTGAGCTGTCTTGATGTCAAAATTCAGCAACTTTTTTGCCCACAAGGCTTTATACTCTAGCTCAACGGGCAGATGGTAGGACTTCCCATAGAAGAGTGAGAAGGGTGTTCTGCCAATGGGTGTCTTGAAGTCTGTCCTGTAAGCCCACAAAGCATCATCAAGCTTATTAGACCAATCCTTTCTTGTAACACCAACTGTTTTCTCTAAGATTGCCTTGATTTCTCTGTTGGACACCTCCACTTGGCCACTTGTTTGAGGATGGTAAGGAGTAGCAACCTTGTTGATGAAATGGCTTCCACCATCACTGATCACACATCTTGGAGTACCAAACCTTGGGAAGATAATTATCTTGAAGAGCTTCAGCACAACTCTAGCATCATTTGTTGGACTAGCAATGGCTTCAACCCACTTTGACACATAATCAACAGCTACAAGAATGTACTTGTTCCCA